TTGAATTACTCACAAAGGCACGTTTTTTACCCAATGGTGCTCCTCAAGTTGGCTTTAGGGAGGAACGATTGAAGAAAATCTTCCTTTGACCGACAACTAACATAATATGGTCCGACTTCCGTCAATGTAAAGCAGGAAACATGGCGGACCATGTATGGCTCATCCTTCAGTTCATCGGTTTCAGGCAGAGCCGCTGAACGACTCAAAGTCTCTTTGGCCAGAGACAGAAAACTAGATCACGTCTGATTGGCGTTAAGCTTTCAGAATGGTCGCAGAGGAGAAGTGCATTGTGGGAAATGGTGTTTTGTGTAAGAAAACTCAAAATGCCAGAAATGCATAGGAATGCATGAACCACTGACCACCTGAGTCTGAAAGAAGACTGCTGCCCCCTGCTGGTCAGAAGGTGTGGAATGAGTTTCAGAGAAGGAATGAAACTTATCCGGAAAGTTCAACCATGTTGAATTACTCACAAAGGCACGTTTTTTACCCAATGGTGCTCCTCAAGTTGGCTTTAGGGAGGAACGATTGAAGAAAATCTTCCTTTGACCGACAACTAACATAATATGGTCCGACTTCCGTCAATGTAAAGCAGGAAACATGGCGGACCATGTATGGCTCATCCTTCAGTTCATCGGTTTGAGGCAGAGCAGCTGAACGACTCAAAGTCTCTTTGGCCGGAGACAGAAAACTAGATCATATCTGATTGGCGTTAAGATTTTAGACTGGTCACAGAGGAGAAGTGCATTGTGGGAAATGGTGTTTTGTGTAAGAAAACTCAAAATGCCAGAAATGCATAGGAATGCATGAACCACTGACTACCTGAGTCTGAAAGAAGACTGCTGCCCCCTGCTGGTCAGAAGGTGTGGAATGAACTTCAGAGAAGGAATGAAACTTATCCGGAAAGTTCAACCATGTTGAATTACTCACAAAGGCACGTTTTTTACCCAATGGTGCTCCTCAAGTTGGCTTTAGGGAGGAACGATTGAAGAAAATCTTCCTTTGACCGACAACTGACATAATATGGTCCGACTTCCGTCAATGTAAAGCAGGAAACATGGCGGACCATGTATGGCTCATCCTTCAGTTCAGCGGTTTGAGGCAGAGCCGCTGAACGACTCAAAGTCTCTTTGGCCGGAGACAGAAAACTAGATCACGTCTGATTGGCGTTAAGCTTTCAGAATGGTCGCAGAGGAGAAGTGCATTGTGGGAAATGGTGTTTTGTGTAAGAAAACTCAAAATGCCAGAAATGCATAGGAATGCATGAACCACTGACTACCTGAGTCTGAAAGAAGACTGCTGCCCCCTGCTGGTCAGAAGGTGTGGAATGAGCTTCAGAGAAGGAATGAAACTTATCCGGAAAGTTCAACCATGTTGAATTACTCACAAAGGCACGTTTTTTACCCAATGGTGCTCCTCAAGTTGGCTTTAGGGAGGAACGATTGAAGAAAATCTTCCTTTGACCGACAACTGACATAATATGGTCCGACTTCCGTCAATGTAAAGCAGGAAACATGGCGGACCATGTATGGCTCATCCTTCAGTTCAGCGGTTTGAGGCAGAGCCGCTGAACGACTCAAAGTCTCTTTGGCCGGAGACAGAAAACTAGATCATGTCTGATTGGCGTTAAGCTTTCAGAATGGTTGCAGAGGAGAAGTGCATTGTGGAAATGGTGTTTTGTGTAAGAAAACTCAAAATGCCAGAAATGCATAGGAATGCATGAACCACTGACTACCTGAGTCTGAAAGAAGACTGCTGCCCCCTGCTGGTCAGAAGGAGTGGAATGAGTTTCAGACAAGGAATGAAACTTATCCGGAAAGTTCAACCATGTTGAATTACTCACAAAGGCACGTTTTTTACCCAATGGTGCTCCTCAAGTTGGCTTTAGGGAGGAACGATTGAAGAAAATCTTCCTTTGACCGACAACTAACATAATATGGTCCGACTTCCGTCAATGTAAAGCAGGAAACATGGCGGACCATGTATGGCTCATCCTTCAGTTCATCGGTTTGAGGCAGAGCAGCTGAACGACTCAAAGTCTCTTTGGCCAGAGACAGAAAACTAGATCACGTCTGATTGGCGTTAAGGTTTCAGAATGGTCGCAGAGGAGAAGTGCATTGTGGGAATTGGTGTTTTGTGTAAGAAAACTCAAAATGCCAGAAATGCATAGGAATGCATGAACCACTGACCACCTGAGTCTGAAAGAAGACTGCTGCCCCCTGCTGGTCAGAAGGTGTGGAATGAACTTCAGAGAAGGAATGAAACTTATCCGGAAAGTTCAACCATGTTGAATTACTCACAAAGGCACGTTTTTTACCCAATGGTGCTCCTCAAGTTGGCTTTAGGGAGGAACGATTGAAGAAAATCTTCCTTTGACCGACAACTAACATAATATGGTCCGACTTCCGTCAATGTAAAGCAGGAAACATGGCGGACCATGTATGGCTCATCCTTCAGTTCATCGGTTTGAGGCAGAGCAGCTGAACGACTCAAAGTCTCTTTGGCCAGAGACAGAAAACTAGATCACGTCTGATTGGCGTTAAGGTTTCAGAATGGTCGCAGAGGAGAAGTGCATTGTGGGAATTGGTGTTTTGTGTAAGAAAACTCAAAATGCCAGAAATGCATAGGAATGCATGAACCACTGACCACCTGAGTCTGAAAGAAGACTGCTGCCCCCTGCTGGTCAGAAGGTGTGGAATGAACTTCAGAGAAGGAATGAAACTTATCCGGAAAGTTCAACCATGTTGAATTACTCACAAAGGCACGTTTTTTACCCAATGGTGCTCCTCAAGTTGGCTTTAGGGAGGAACGATTGAAGAAAATCTTCCTTTGACCGACAACTAACATAATATGGTCCGACTTCCGTCAATGTAAAGCAGGAAACATGGCGGACCATGTATGGCTCATCCTTCAGTTCAGCGGTTTCAGGCAGAGCCGCTGAACGACTCAAAGTCTCTTTGGCCGGAGACAGAAAACTAGATCACGTCTGATTGGCGTTAAGCTTTCAGAATGGTCGCAGAGGAGAAGTGCATTGTGGGAAATGGTGTTTTGTGTAAGAAAACTCAAAATGCCAGAAATGCAAAGATGCATAATGATCATTTTGGTAAAGAATACTGCTGCCCCCTTGTGGTCAGAAATTGGAACATGAACCAAACTGGAAACACACAGCCGTAAATAAGATTTTTAGTTCAGCCTCAGTTTGAAGATCTGAACTGCAGATGTTACAGTTTCTTTGTTTTTATCTGTAATATTGAGACAATAATTATTGATGATGTTGTTTCAAGTCACTGAAATGACGACTCAGCTGCCAAGATGTTCAGTTTCAGTTCAAAGCAGCAGAACAGATAAAAATGCTGAATGAATTTGAGACGATGAAAGTTTCTAAATCAAAGAATCTCATCTTTAAATCTTTAAACTGAATTTTCAACATGATGACGATCTGCTGGCCTGATGCACAACTGGCTTCATAAAAATGAGCAAAAACAAACAAATTGTCATTTCTGGCTGTTAAAACATATAAAAAATATTCATTAGGATCAAATCTTGACCTGAATGGTTTAATTATTCTATATAATCTGTTGGTGGTTCAATCCAACGACTTTAAATCTCCAGATTCTCTCATTAAACTTTATTGATCACTGATGTGAAAAACAGCATCAAACCAGCAGCTTTGCTCTCATATTGAATGAAACATTTTCTCTTTCTGTCATTTATTCTCATGTTCCAGTTCATTTGCTAGAAGAAAACATTCAGGGTTAAAAAATAGGACAAGTCATCATTATATCTATATAATCACATCTGATCTATATGACAAATTCAAAGAAATATTTCCAAACTGAAAATATTTCCTTCATGTTTTTCTGTAACTTTAATGTCATTAATCAATAAACTGATTGCAAACGTCTGTCTGTGTGAACATGTGTTGTTTTAACTATAAAGTTAATTTCTGCAGAAATATTGAAGCAAATACTTTAGTTTCTGATATCAGTTTTGAAAAAAGGTTAGAAGATTAAGAAGTAAATATTTACTTAGATATTTGTTCAGATTTTTATTTTTTTTAGAAAATTATAGAATATAAATAAATAAATTTCAAGAGGTGGTGATGTCATGATGTGGGCTGATAATAATCAAGGCTGACTAGTAAAGATTCACAATTCAATATAATACTTAGATTGAAAAGAAACAAAAAGCAGAATTAATCATTTGAAAATGTTAATTAACAGAAATGTTACGAAGCAGCAACATTTCCCAGTAAAGACGTTGATCAGCTGATCTCCAGATATTAAAATGATCATTTTGCTGGTTTTGGAGCTGCAGCTCCTCTTCATCATTCTCCATAAATAAGTTGATTTAAAGGCTATTTGATGTAAACTAAAGTAATGTGGGGTTTACTTTTCATTTCTGTCTAAAATGTAACATGATCTAGAAGTTTATGTATATAGAAACTGGTTCTGTTCATCATGAACAGACATGTTGACTCTTAGATCTGGCCAAGTGTCAACATGACAGCAGGTTTGGGTTTTAGTTCTGTTTTAGACTTTGAACTGAGTCTCATTTTCAGAGTGAAAGAAAGAACATTTCTCTTTTTTAAAAGTACAGAAACAGATAAATGTGTTGTTAACTGATGCAGCAGCACGAAGGCTGGACTTTTACCTGAACTTCAGTAATTATCTTTAATTTGTGTTCATTTTATTCCTTATTCAGTTTCATTTTCTCTTTAAATATTCTCACCGTTTGCATTCAGTGTTTCTTATTAAAGTTCAGAGATAAATCAAAGTGAAAACCTGCTTTATTGGGTGAGAATGTTTTTATAATGTTGTAAAAATGATTAATTCTTAAATGCATTAAGTTTGATGAAAATAGTCTGAGGATTGAAAAAAGTGTCAGTAAACATTGCAGGTCTGGGCAGCACCAAGTAACCTGAGAGGATCCCTGTGAAATATCCTGATATTATTTGCCTTTTGGTGACTCCACCTATTAGCACAAATATATCTAAACTCTAGTGAACAGGGAATAGAGCTGGAAAGACCTCAGAACTCCACAGGTTTTATCCAGGCAGGTTACAGGTGAGTCAGTCTGTTCTAGTTTATTATTGGTCAGTTTTTATGTTAAAATGAAGAGGAACTCTGATAAAACATTTAGCAGCTTGATAATGATTGGTGTTTAATGCACTAGAACCTGTTAAATTATAAAGATCTGGTTTCTGTTGTTTTACCAAAGATGTATTTAAAATAATAAATTGACTTTCTGCATTTTAACTTCTAGAGAATCTGTTTCAGAACCACAGACAATATTTTATTGACTTTTTGTCCAAAAACTAAAATTCCAAAATTGAAAAAACTCAAATCTCAAAAGTGATCAAACCAAAGTGAAATAAACTCAAATAGTTAAAACAATGCATCGTGGGTTCTGGTTTACGCAGTCCAAAGCAAAAAGGTCAAAACAGTCAAAGTGCAGCTCTTTGTTTACTTTATTCAGTTTTTAGCTAAAAACAAGTTACAGGTTTTGAATAAACCTGCCTGAACTCCTGCACCTTTTCTCACTGATAAAACTGACCGACTGACTGATGACAGTTAAAAACCATAAAACCACGTGACGAAAGACTTGTGTATAACTTTCATGAAGATGAAATTTAATCTTTTGACAACCAGAAAATACTTGAAATATTTATTTCTTAATTAACTCTTAACTTAACATGAACCAGTTCCTGTAATCAGAATCTGTTGTTGTTGGTTGTGTTCTATGATTTTATATTTTGTGTTTTTATGATGTAAAGTTCTTTGAAATGCCTTGTTGCTGAAAGGTGCTATAAAAATAAAATGTAATTGATACAATGTAGAAATAAAGTCATGTTTATTTTTTAATCTAACTGACATGTGATAATAAAACAGTAGAAAAGAAAAACTAAACTATTTCTAGATTTTATAGCAGACTGATTTTACTAAAACTAATGTAAAACATGTCCTAATATTTTACTGCTGTGTATTGATCACCACAAGGTGGCAGTACTGATCTGTTTTCAAAACATGAATCAATGCTCTCTGTTTTGTCTTCCAGTATTAAACTCAACTTTTCCACCATGTTGATGAAATACGTCAGAATATTAAAGAAATAATTTAACAAAATCTGTCCTGATGATCTTCATCACTTCACTGATGTTGATCCATCCTGATTATTTAAAGTCTGATTTTTCTGAGCTAAAAGAGTAAAAGTGACATAAAATTCAGAAAAATCCACCAGAAAACTATTCTTCTTTGTCATTTGTAAATCTTGGTGAATCATTCAATCATGTTATGAAAGTTACAGCAATTCAGTTGTTCCTTGTACTGATGTTGTGCTGCCTCTCCTCCTCTTCCTCTCTCAGGATGAAGATGATGTCCAGCATCCTGCTGCTCCTCATCCTCAGCTCATGTCTCTGTGGTCTCCATCTTGTCTTTGTGACAGAAAGCTCTCTAGATGGAGCTGAAAGACTCCCATGTTCCAGTTCTCAGTGTGTCTGCTCCTCTCTTTCCCTCTCTGTCTCCTCAGCAGCAACATTTGTAGTGAATGTGACACAGAGCAGCTATCAGGCAGAGGAGAAGCAGAGCATCACTCTGGAGTGGACCTTCACCACCAAGACTCAGGGAACCTGGAAGAATCTGTTCATCTACTGTGAAGCGATCACAGATCATGGAGTCTTAGTTCTCTATCAGGTCCATGAAGGAGTTGAGATTCCAGAGTCTCAGGATGATCAGTTTTCAGGACGAGTCCAGAGCGACAAAGACGTCCTCAGAGAAGGAAGAATCAGACTCCATGTGTCCAGACTGAGGACTGAAGACTCTGGTCTGTATCTGTGTGACGTGAAAAACTGGAGATGGATTCAACTCTGGAAGATGTCGACTCAGCGTTACTGGTGAGAATAAATATTTTACTCTGATAAAATCCTGAGTTGTTGAATTTCTTCATCTTCTCCATGAATCCTCCTGGATCTCAGTTTCCATCAAATATTAATAAATATTTCTGATTTCTCTCCCAGCAGCTGCTGATCAGATCCAAACTCAGAGACCAAGATTGACTCCAGAACCAGAGAGACGAGGAAGGAGCATCATCATCATCATCATCTTCATCATCGTCTCTGTGGCACTGACATTTCTGGCGGCTCTAATTACAAACTTGATTTTCTGTGTCAAAAAAAAAAGTAAAGAAAAACAAAAAAATAATCATTTAACAAGTTTAGATGCAAAATATAATACAGATAAAAGTTTTGTTCCCTTGACTTTGGTTGATGAAATTTTACCACCACAGAAACATCAGGTTAGATTTAATAACCTGATTATTGATTAGTAAAATGTTCCATTGTAATGAATTATTCAGTCGTAATAAAAATGTTTATTGTTATATATATTGTATATTTTAGATTTCTGATGCTTCATGACAAATTTAAATGAATACTTACAAACTGAAAATATTTCCTTCATGTTTTTCTGTAACTTTAATGTCATTAATCAATAAACTGATTGCAAATGTCTGTCTGTGTGAACATGTGGAGTTTAAAGGTTAATTTCTACATACAGTCTGCAGAAATCTCAGAGCAGCTGGAAAATATTTTAGTTTCTAAGTTTTGGAATAAAATGTTGAGACATTAAGAACTAAAAATACATTTAAATATTTGCTCATATTTTTCTCACTTAGGAGAAAATGAAATATTAATAAATGAGTAATTAGTGTTTTAACTCTGGTGGTTATGATGCATCTGAAAGTCTGTTGGATTGTAAAGACTCTGATATTATTATTATAAAGCTTTTGTGTTGATGCTCATATAAGAAACAAACAGCAAATTAATCATTTTAATTAATACAAGTTTTATAAAGTAACAAAAATTCAATACAAAAATTGATCAGCTGATCGACGTCCAGATATTGATCATTTCTGAAGCAGCAGCTCCTCTTCATCACTTTCTATAAATAAACTCATTTGGCCTTAATGTGGGTTTTACCGTTTTGTTTTTGTCCAGCATTTTGTTATATAATCAATAAAACAAACAATTTATCATAAATGTTAGAAGATAAAACTTAACGGTGAATATTAATGATGGACAAAATATAAAAACAGAACAAATCAAACTGAACGGATCCAGTCGGTCCATCACTCAGACCTTCAGCTCTATAAGCTCACAGTTCCTAACTCCACCACCAGGTGGCGCTCCAGTAGAACCCTTGATGGTAGAACTGGTCTGAAGTCAGATCCAGCAGCTGGACTGGTTCTGCTGAGGTCCAAACGGCTGCAGCTCATGTTGGATGTTAAAAGGTTCTGCAGAGAATCAGGTTCTGACAACATGAGGGAAGAAATCTGGATTTATTTACAGCAGAACCTTCAGAACCAGAACCAGTGGAGCAGATCCAGAACTTCACTGGTTCATCAGCTGCTGCAGCTTAAAGCATCTCAGATCAGGGTTCTGGTTCTGGTTCCAGGTTCTGGTTCTGGTTCCAGGTTCTGGTTCTGGTTCTGGTTGAGTCCAGAATGTCTGTTTCCAGCAGTCAGCGGGTCAGAACCAGAACCAGAACATCACTCTGCTGCTGGTTCATGAACAGAAGAAAGAAAATCATATAAAACCTGAAAAACTGAACTTAACAATAAATTATAATCTTAGATTAAATTCTCTTTAAGGCTCATTTATGTTGAGTTTCAGATTTAAAATCTTTCAGCTGCTGAAAAAAATCAACTAAATAAATTAATTTGTTGTTTGATGCTGAAAATTTATATTCCTCTAAATCTGATCAAATTGTTTCTAATGATAAAGTGACTGAATTATCTCTTCTCTCTTTATAATTATTAAAATAAACATCTAATAGTAGAAAACATTTCACTAAAAAATAATAAAGAAGAAAAATCAGAGCTGCTGCTGTCGGTCCCACTGTGATGATGATGATGCTCCTTCCTCGTCTCTCTGGTTCTGGAGTCAATCTTGGTCTCTGAGTTTGGATCTGATCAGCAGCTGCTGGGAGAGAAATCAGAAATATTTATTAATATTTGATGGAAACTGAGATCCAGGAGGATTCATGGAGAAGATGAAGAAATTCAACAACTCAAAATATTTCTTCTCACCAGAAACGTTGAGTCGACATCTTCCAGAGTTGAATCCATCTCCAGTTTTCACATCACACAGATACAGACCAGAGTCTTCAGTCCTCAGTCTGGACACATGGAGTCTGATTCGTCCTTCTCTGAGGACGTCTTTGTCGCTCTGGACTCGTCCTGAAAACTGATCATCCTGAGACTCTGGAATCTCAACTCCTTCATGAACCTGATAGAGAACTAGTTCTTTATGAGGAGCCAATAAGCTGCAGACGATGAACAGATTCCTCCAGGTTCCCTGAGTCTTGGTGGTGAAGGTCCACTCCAGAGTGATGCTCTGCTTCTCCTCTGCCTGATAGCTGCTCTGTGTCACATTCACTACAAATGTTGCTGCTGAGGAGACAGAGAGGGAAAGAGAGGAGCAGACACACTGAGAACTGGAACATGGGAGTCTTTCAGCTCCATCTAGAGAGCTTTCTGTCACAAAGACAAGATGGAGACTGACCACAGAGACATGAGCTGAGGATGAGGAGCAGCAGGATGCTGCACATCATCTTCATCCTGAAGAGGAAGAGGAGGAGAGGCAGCAGGACATCAGGATCATCATCACTAACAATATGAGGAACAACTGGATTCCTGGTTAGGAAAAGAAAAATAAGGAGTGAAATTGTTCTGTTATAATTCATGAGATAAGAATATCAGTGTATAAAATCCTTGTTGAGTGTTTTTCTAAAATTAAATTAAATGTCATAAATCACAACATGAGTGAAACAACATTGAAACAAAGTCAGGCAGAAACATTGAATCCATGTTAAAGTCTGACATTGAAATGAAATTAAAGTGCTGATTGACTTACATGTTGAATCAACATTAAAGTTTCAACCATAACTGACTATATTAATGTTGATTCAACCGTCATCTTACTGTGGATCTACATGCATATTTGTATTGATTTATATTGAATCTGTTGATTCATGTAAATCTTTTGGTCTGACATGTTTACATCATAACATACCAGTAAAAGTTTTTCATGGTGTTAAACACAGTTTTATTGGCAGATCTTGGCAAACATTCAAAATGATATTACATTAACTTATTTACAAAAATGTGTGTCCAACAGGTTAAAAATGACAACATGGCATTAATATAACATTTTATCTAAGAAAACAGAAATGGATCTGTAAACATATAGTGAGGTAGGAGAGCAACAAGCAACATACTTTGATTCAAAATCGATCAGGCTTTATTGATCCACCATCAGATGTTCAGCCATCCAATAATCAACCATTCTGACTATAATTCATTTACCATTTTGTGCTGACTGGGCACTTTGCTCAAAATACTTACAAATGACTTACAAATAAAAAATAACACATCTTTTAAACAAAATCATAATAATGCAGTTGAACCACAAAGAAAATGAAGTTGAAGCTGTGAAGAGAAGGATTGATTAGTTTCAGTCAATAGAAAATGTTTCAGTTCCACAGATCTGGAAAGTAGAAATCATCTTTCTGATCCTGGATTAATCTGAGTCTTTCTGCAGGAATTATTCTTCTACTTTCAAACATCACATGGGATTTATTTTTATCCATAACCTAAAGTTTTAATCTCACTTTCACAGATTAAAGGCTGTTTTTCATATCAATGGCTATTTAAACCAACTTAGTTCCTTCTTGCTTTCAGTATTTCTGATCTCTCCATAATCTGGTCAAATCTCTCCCTCCATAATTTCTATTAATCTCAGACTTTTAAAACTTATTCAGCTTTCTTCTTTTTTCATGCTGATCTTCCAACATCAACTCAATATGATCTTCCAGAGAGGAATCTCTGTTTCTACAGGAAAACTGCTGAGAGCTTTAACCTCACAGCGCCCTCTGGTGGAGAACTATAGGATTTAACACAGAGTCTGTCTCCAGAAACAGTTTCGCTTTGTTTTCATAATAATTCCTCCAGCATTGAAGCTTCTGCTGCTTTAATGTTTGTGTGATTCTCTGGTTAGGGACCATCAACAAATATCTGATCGATCGAAACACAGAAATAAACCAAGACCTTCCAGATTGTGACTAGAAGATTAATTCATTTTTCTAAACTAAGGAGACGAATCAGTTGGTTAAATAAAAATGTGATGACGAGACTTTCAGCATCTTTTGTCTGACAAAAAAAAATTATTTAAGTGCAAGCTCTTTTGAACAATAGACTATAAGAACAATGTAGAACTTTAACTCATCAAAGCTGTGATTAAACATTTCAAAGAAGGCTTAAGATAGACAGAAAACATCCATAATAGACAGCAGGATGAGCAGAAATGGACATGAATGAATTGGTTGAGTAGAAAAATGCGTAACATGAGAGTTATTGATAAAATATCAACATTAATATTTTACATTAAGTTGTTATTCTAAATTATATAAATTTATTTCTGACAGACTCACAAATTTATGTTTTTACCATTGTAACATGATATGGTGAATAGTTATTACTTTATTATCTCTAAAAGTTAAAGCTGCTCTACAAACCTCCACAAACGGATCTCTAAGGAAGTGACCCACTTTGGTTTGTTTTGGAGCAAGATGGGGGTCGGTGACCTCTGAATGACCTGAAACTGAATATTTAATATTTCAGAAACAAAATCAGTCAAAAGGAAATTTCTAACAGCACCAACCTGCAGTGACGGAGCACCAACACTCAGGATGTTTGTGGATTTGTGGGCTGTCAGTTTCACTCAGCTGTTCACGTCACTCTCTCAGCTACAAACAGTGAAATCACATCAAACCAGAACAAACTGATCTGCAGGATCCGAGGACAAAACGCCGATATAAATCCTGGAAGGTTGAAGTCATTTTTAAACCAGGTGACCAATCGCACCTGATCGTCATCCTCCTGATCTCCAGCTGCAGCCATATAAGGACAGAACTCCCCTGCATGGCGTCGGATTGTTGCGAAACCCTCAGCGGTAACATCTTCAGGCCTGCTATAGAAACTGAGCTACTGTCCAGTATCTAACCTGTCCAGTATCTAACCTGTCCAGTATCTAACCTGCCCAGTATCTAACCTGTCCAGTATCTAACCTGTCCAGTATCTAACCTGTCCAGTATCTAACCTGTCCAGTATCTAACCTGTCCAGTATCTAACCTGTCCAGTATCTAACCTGTCCAGTATCTAACCTGTCCAGTATCTAACCTGTCCAGTATCTAACCTGCCCAGTATCTAACCTGTCCAGTATCTAACCTGTCCAGTATCTAACCTGTCCAGTATCTAACCTGCCCAGTATCTAACCTGCATAGATTCCTCTCCTGTCCCCGATTCCTGACTCTCTCCTCTGGATAAGGACCTCCTGGCTTCGACCCCCCGTCTGTCTGACCCTGTGATCTGATATCTGTTTTGACCTGGACTCTGGACCCGTGGGCTCGGATCCCCCGTCTGTCTGACCCAGACATCAGGGGCCGCCTGATCCCGATTTGGACTCTCTGGTTCTGACCCTGGCCTGTCTGACTAAGAACTGGTTTATCTCCCAATAAACACCAGGTTTCGTATTCTCTGTTCAGTCCCTGCGTCCATCAGTGCCTGAGTGTGAAAACTTTATCACTTACGTTGTGTCCAGGTCTCTGAGTAGCTTTGCTGCTGATCTCTACAGGTCAGATCTAAAATAACAGACCAAGCTATTTCTTCTTTGTGCTTCCAGTTACAGAAGGTTGAGGAATCAAATGAAGTTTGTTGGCAACTTTCATGACCAACAGCAAACAGGAGCATTCAGCTCTTAATGCTTTTGCTCACTTTGCTTTGCTTTGCTTTGCTTTTCTTTGCTCCTCCTACTGGAACTCATTTCATTGAGTCTATAGAAGCAGGAATGGAAAATAGCCTTCTTCAGGACGAGTCCAGTTTATGCTCTGCAACACGAGGAGGGAGAATGTAATGAATGTCTGGCAGTAGGACAAAGAGGAGGAGAGACTCTTAACGTAAATAGAAGTTTGATCCCTCGACAGCCTCAAATTAGAAGAGCATGAAATAAACAGCATAACTGAAACAGTTTGTCAGTCTGTTAGTCTAGATCTGATCTGCAGTAGAACTAGACTTTGAACATCTTATATTAGCATCAGTATCAATGTTCAGAGACCTGGAAACAAAGGCTGACAAAGCAACAAAATGTGAGGCTGATAAAGAAGAAAACTAACAGTAAGTTTATTACATGTTTGTTTATAATTTAGAGTTAGTTTGTCCATCATTAATATTCATCGTTAAGTTTTATCTTCTAGAATTTATGATAAATTGTTTGTTTTATTGATTATATAACAAATGCTGGACAAAAACAAAACAGTAAAACCCACATTAAGGCTAAATGAGTTTATTTTAGAAAGTGATGAAGAGGAGCTGCTGCTTCAGAAATGATCAATATCTGGACGTCGATCAGCTGATCAATTTTGTGTTTAATTTTGTTACTTTATAAAACTTATTAATTAAAATGATTAATTTGCTGTTTGTTTCTTATATGAGCATCAACACAAAGCTTTATAATAATAATATCAGAGTCTTTACAATCCAACAGACTCTCAGATGCATCATAACCACCAGAGTTAAAACACTAATTACTCATTTATTAATATTTCATTTTTCCTAAGTGAGAAAAATATGAGCAAATATTTAAATGTATTTTTAATTCTTAATCTCTCAACATTTTGTTTCAAAACTTAGAAACTAAAATATTTTCCAGCTGCTCTGAGATTTCTGCAGACTGTATGTAGAAATTAACCTTTAAACTCCACATGTTCACACAGACAGACGTTTGCAATCAGTTTATTGATTAATGACATTAAAGTTACAGAAAAACATGAAGGAAATCATCAATTTGGGAATATTTCTTTGAATTTGTCATGAAGCTTTGAAATCTAAAATGTGTTTTTCATCTTTTGAGAAATATGAATATAATAAAGACTTTGGACACATTTGAAGCTTTTTTTTTAATCCAATCCAAAGTTTTTGCTAATTATATGAATTATAACATGAAAGTAAATTACAGAAAAACAAAATGTTTCATTCAATATGAGATTAAAGTTCCTGAAATTGAAACTGAGAAATTTCATAAACATTTAAGTATTTAGTAAATCCAGATACTTCTTTAAACTTTGGCTCCTTCTCTGACTTTATTAACCTGTGAAAGTAAAGCGATGTTTCTGTGTTTATGAGAGAAAGATGAGTTTTATTGGCTGGTTTCAGGTCGACTTCTGGCTCTGAAGGACTGTGATGTTCAGCCTCTGCTGCTCTCACAGCGTCTGCAGCATCAGGACCATCAGATCCTCAGCAGGCAGAGAAACTCCTGATCTGATCACTTCAGGATGCTGAGCTGGTCAGAGTTCAGGTCCGGTCAGAGTTCAGGTCCAATCAGAGTTCAGGTCCAGTCAGATATCAGGTCCGGTCAGAGATCAGGTCCAGTCAGAGTTCAGGTCCGTCAGAGTTCAGCAGCTGAGCTTCAGGATGGACCAGCAGCTCCTGCTTCCTGATCCAAAACCAAATAAAGAGCAAATTGAGTCATAATGAGACATTAAAGAGGAAACAAGCAAACAGAGATTCATCCATTCATTCATTCATTCATTCATTCATTCATTCATTCAGGAGAACAAAATGGAGACACAGCTGGTAGAAAAAGAATCAGGTTTTAATAAAAGCTTCAGTTTCTGATCATTGATAAAAACAACAGAAAACTACAATAAAACAGTTATGAGAAATAAAACTCAAGAATCTTTGAATTGAAACGTTGAGAAAACTTTGGACATGTTGAAGAATTAAAGTTTCTGAAATGAAACTTCAACATTTATATTCATAAAACCTTCTATTAAAACAAACAATGATGGTGAAAATCTGTTAAAAACAACTTTAATGTTTAAAGTTTATTGTTTAAATGTATTAAATTTATAAAAATCATCATTTGAAAACAGTGAAATATAACAACCAAAGGTTTCATTCTGTTTTGTCTTTCTAACATATTGATAAAAAAAATTATAATAAATTGAATCACTTTATTAGTAACAATAATACAGTGTTATTATTTTATTAAGTGTTTCATCACTTAAACACAAACACTGATCAATACGTCTGATTGAGTCAGAAAGTTTTTGGAAATGATTTAATAATTTAATAACAATAAACAGATCATTTTATTACAATTGATTAATTCATCACAATGTAACATAATAGCCATTAAATTTCTTCAATCTAACCTGGTGCTCCTGTAGTGGCAAAATTATTATCATCCAACTCAAACAAACAAAACTTTTATCTGTATTATAGTTTACAATTAAAATTGTTGAATGATTTTTTTTTGTTTTTTTCTTTCTGTTTTTCCCTGACACAGAAAAACAATTTTATAATTATAAGCAACAGAGCAACAGATGCTACTGCTGTCAGTCCCACTGTGATGATGATGATGTTCCTTCCTCGTCTCTCTGGTTCTGGAGTCAATCTTGGTCTCTGAGTTTGGATCTGATCAGCAGCTGCTGGGAGAGAAATCAGAAATATTTATTAATATTTGATGGAAACTGAGATCCAGGAGGATTCATGGAGAAGATGAAGAAATTCAACAACTCAGGATTTTATCTGATAAAATATTTCTTCTCACCAGAAACGCTGAGTCGACATCTTCCATAGTTGAATCCATCTTCAGTTTTCACGTCACACAGATACAGACCAGAGTCTTCAGTCCTCAGTCTGGACACATGGAGTCTGATTCGTCCTTCTCTGAGGACGTCTTTGTCGCTCTGGACTCGTCCTGAAAACTGATCATCCTGAGACTCTGGAATCTCAACTCCTTCATGGATGTGATAGAGAACTAAGACTCCATGATCCGTGTTCGCTTCACAGTAGATGAACAGATTCTTCCAGGTTCCCTGAGTCTTGGTGGTGAAGGTCCACTCCATAGTGATGTTCTGCTTCTCTTCAGGGGGTCTCAGGGCTGTGTCCTGAGCCTCCTGCTGTTCACCCTGATGACCCACGACTGCCGTCCACACTTCAGATCCAACCACATCCTGAAGTACGCGGACGACACCACAGTGGTGGGCCTCATCCGGGACAACAACGAGACGGCCTATAGGGAGGAGGTGTGGCATCTGGTGGACTGGTGCAGAGGAAACAACCTGATCCTGAATGTCAACAAGACCAAGGAGATCATCGTAGACTTCAGGAAATCCAGACCCACCCACACACCACTCCTCATCAACGACTCAGCAGTGGAGGTCGTCAGCAGCACCAAGTTCCTGGGGGTGCACATCAACGAAAACCTCAGCTGGTCTCCCCACATCTCCTCACTGTGAAGAAGGGCCAGCAGCGCATGCACTTCCTGCGTCGGATGAAGAGAGCATCCCTCCCGCCCCCCATCCTTCAGACCTTCTACAGAGGGACCATCGAGAGCCAACTGACCAGCTACATCTCCATCTGGTCTGGGAGCTGCAGGGTCTCTGACTGGAAGTCTCTACAGAGGGTGGTGAGGACAGGGGAGAAGATCACGGGGGCTCTGCTCCCCTGCATCAAGGACATCGCAGAGAGGCGCTGCCTATCCCGCGCTCACCAGATCCTCTCCGACCCCACCCACCCCAACCATGGACTGTTTCCCCCCTGGCGTCTGGAAGAAGGTTCTGCAGCATCTTGTGCAGAACAACCAGACTACTGAACAGTTTCTTCC